GCCTCATTTTCTGCCAAATCACTACATCATAGCCATGTTGAACATTATACAGCCAAGTACCTGGGATACAGGCAACTGCCACCATGCCTGGCTAATTTATCTATTTTTAGTAGAGACAGGGTTTCACCATGTTGGCCAGGGTGGTCTCAAAACTACTGACCTCAAGTAATCCGCCTGCCTTGGCCTCCCAAAGTGCTAGTATTACAGGCGTGTTATAGCACTTGTCATTCTTTATTCTAACTGCTTGTTTTAGCTTCCTCTTGATAGACTATAGATTTCTAGAGGACTGGGGATATGTATATCTTATACTTTGTTATATTTTGAATGCCTAACACAAATCTGGCATATAATAGGCCCTCAAATTTGTGGACTGAATAAATACTTATTTAATTGGAGAATTCAAAACGGTTATCCAAAATTTATTTCATTGTGTTTGAAATGGCATGCTTATACTTGGATCAAAATTATTTATTTATCTTTTTATTCTGTGCTTATTACTAGAAATAATATAAAGGAATAATATATGTAGGACACTAAATTGAAACTGGGAGCGGATATTATATACACATTAAGCATCCCTAATCCAAAAACCTGAAATTTTAAATGTTCCAAAATCTGAAACATTTTGAGCATCAACATGAATCTCAAAGGTTATGCTTAAGAAATGCTCATTAAAGTATTTCAGATTGTAGATTTTTGGATTCGGGATGTTTAGATGGTAAGTATAATGCAAATATTCCAAATTTCAAAAAGATAAAAAATCTGAAACACTTCTGGTTTGAAGCATGTCAGAAAAGGGATACTTAACCTGCATGTATACATTGGTATGTATAAGCATTAGTCTTATACACTCACTAGAGGTGGCAGCACATCTTCACGGGGCACGTGATAGAGACTGTCAATTGTCTTTCATTTCTTCTTCTTTTCCCTTCCCATAGTAAAGTGCTTGATTGTTTTCTTGGGGAAATGGCCACTCTGAATGAAGACTAGATTTACTAGGTTGTTTTGCAGCTAGGTATGGCAAAGTGATTATGTTCTGGGATGTTGAATGTGAATGTAAATGTAAATGAGTGTAAATGTAAGTTGAATGTTATGTGTAACATAAGTAGACTTAATAAGTGGAGCTGAAGAAGCAACCTTAGACCACAAAGGGCTTGTGGAGGCAAGTGTAACAACAAGATAGAAGGAACCTGATACATCTTGGAGCACCAACTAGATTTAGGGAACTACCCTGGATTTTTGCTTGAGAGAGAAATAAACATCTATATTATTTAAGCTATTGTTATTTTGGATTTCAGACACTTGCAGCTGAACCTGTACAACTGCCAAAACTTCTTTGACAAATGGATCATTTATCCCCCTGGGAGCTCTTTCCTACTTTCCTGATGGGGATATCATTGTCTCTTAGGCAAATACATATCACCAGCTTAATATGAGTTGGAAAGGCACCCCAACAAACTTTTTGTTCCACATCTTCTTTGAGTTTGAGAATGTGTGCTATAAAAAGGAAATAAAGGTAAACAAGAGGAAGTACGTAGAATCAACAAAGAACTTGAGCAGGAGAAGGGAGGTCCTATGCAATAAAGAATTTAAAAGCAAGATACATCTTATTTAAATCACTTCACAAATCACTTGGCTCCAGAGATGAAGTTTGATGTATATATCAACTAAAACTTACTCCAATAATCTGCTAATTCACCAGTGTACAGATTTTAAAATTTAGCTTTACCCTTCCTCTCAAAATTAGAGGATGAACACATTTCACAAGCTGGTTATAGTAATCTAATTCCGAAATCTAATTCCTTAGCAAGTTCTCCATAAACCTTAGCAGTATTGAAGATATTTGGTATGCAAAGGGTACTTTTAAATAAGTAGCTTTATTAATAAATATAGGAAATAATCACTATAAAAACGCTTGTCAAATTATTTTTTCTTAGCATGTTGGCAGTACACAGCCAAGTTTTTTTTTTTTTTAATTGCATATACTGTGACCTAGACATTTTGTTTTGAGAAGTCATTGAGAGTAAAGGAGGAGAAAGTAGTTATGTTTTACTTAGGAATGTAAATTTTTATCTAAAATGAGAGGATTAAATTTTGATGTAGCCTTAATTTTATGCAGCCATTAAAAACAATGCTTTGAAATATTATTTCATAATATAGTAAAAATAATTGGCCAAGATATATGTAATATGATGGATTATAGAAAAGAATAAAAAGTTCAGTAAGTGTTCTGAGTGTAGTGAGTCCTAGTATATATGATAAGTACTTAATAATTGTGAACAAAAGATAGACTCTACAGGAAATAAATGGTTTTGAAGCAACTGGGTAGACATCTTTAAAAAATAATGTTAGATTCTTGTCTCACACTGTATAATCAAGATGAATCCCAATGTATCATAGAGTTAAATGTCAAAAAAAGAAAGAATCATGAAAATACCTCAGATTCAGGTAAGACCTTGCTATTATGCAAAATCCATAAAAGTAAAAATTGAATTTTCTGCATGAAAAAAATAATAACGAAAAAATTCTGCCTGGCATTAAACGTTATAAAGCACTGGTCCTCAATATTTTTGGCACCAGGGACCAGTTTAGCAGAGGACAGTTTTTTCGTGGACCAGGGCAGGGATTGGTTTCAGGATGAAATTGTTGTGTTATATCTGAGCGAGTTGTTAGGAAAGCACCACACTCTGAAATCTGATTCTGAGTCCTTTCTTGCCCAGCGACCGAGAGTCAGCTCATGCTCACAATCTCTCGGGGTTTGATTTCTTTTTATATGTTGCTCAAGGTAAGGGGGCAAAGTGGAATTTTACAGAAGCAGAATCAGCAAGTTGGCGGGGGAGGCTGGTAATTAGGAGGCAGGAGGCTCCCATGATTGTTAATTAACTAAGCAGTTCCCATGATTGTGTTACCAAGGGGGGCATTTGGTACTTTCTGTATAATAAATCAAGAGGGTATTCACAATAGCAAGTGGGCTTGTCGAACTGGATCTGGTTACAAAGGTTATGTTTCTATAGTTCTATGCACAACATGATGCAGCACAGTGTGGCCCAGGTATGTATTCAAGGGAGAAATGGCAGTGAGAGAAGCCAAGATGGAGTCAGTCAGGCTTACATCTAAGATGGAGTTAGTTTGGTTCATCTCAGTTGCACCTCAGATCATCAGGCGTTAGATTCTCATAAGGATCATGCAACCTAGATCCCCTGCATGCACAGTTCACAATAGGGTTTGTACTCCTGTGAGAATCTAGTGCTACAGCTGATCTGACAGGAGGTGGAGCTCAGGTGATAATGTTTGCTTGCTCATTACTCACATCCTGCTGTGCAGCTGGGTTCCTAACAGGCCGTGGACCGGTACCAGTCTGCAGCCCAGTGGCTGGGAACTCTTGTCATAAAGTCAAGAGACAAATGAAACACAGAATTGTTTATGGTTTAATTATAGGCAAAGGGGGCAACCCTCTGATAAATAATTTGTAAAACTCAGTAATAAAAAGACAACGAAATAGAAAATAATCGGCAAAGGATATGAGCAAACATGTCACAGAAAATGACATGGAAAAATTTTAACCTCACATACAGAAGAGATATACAAATCAAAATATACTGAAATGCCATTTTTCAGCTTTCCAGAAATTCTAATTTTCTGTCATCCTGAATTATCTTGTCTGTGTGTATATAGACACTCTTAGGGAGTGATGGTAGAAGTAAAAGTTATTTCAATTTTTATGGAGTGTACTTTGGTAATAGCTATCAAAATTACAATAATTTATGTTATTTGAGTGAGTAGCCTGACTTTTTAAAATGTATGTTATAGATGGACATGTGTGAAATGACATATGCAAGATTGTTAATTGCAGAATTTTGTAACAGCAAGAAACTTGTAAACAACCCTTGTGTCCATCAATAGGGGAATGTTTGAAAATATTATGGTGTATTCATATAATGGAATGTTAAGCAGCTGCAGAAGAGAATGAGGACACTCTTTATGTCTGATGTGTAAAGAGCTCTAAGATAGATTGTTAAATGGAAAAAGCTAAGCTTAGAACCATATGGGCAGTATGTTCTATGTGCACAGAAGGGTTGGGAGGAGAATATATAATCATATGTGTATATATGTTTATATGTGCATATATGGAAGAAACTGGGTGTGTCAGGCGAGGTAGCTCTGCCTTTGTGCAAATAAGTAAAGGGTACTGCTTCCTCAACAACTTCTACTTCTGTCTCTTAAAAAATTATTATATTATATTGATTTTGTTCGCACAAGGTACTTGGCAGTCATCCACCAGAAAATTTTAATGAAAATAGATAATATTGAAGGATTTCTTTTTTGAGATTCTGTAGTAAGTTTTTCATTATATTGAATTAAGCTTTTTCTTTAGGAAATTTAACGTAACCTTCAGTTCATTTCTAATTTTCTAATAATAATAGTTTTGAATAATAATAAATAGAAAATTTATCATTTTCCCTTAATAGTTTAATTGGTATTAGAAATATTTGATTTTGTTAAGAACATCTTGTAGTTTATTTAAGGTAAAATTTTATAATTTGTGGAAGGCGAGATATAACTTTTAATAGATATACCTCTTGCTATTTTTTTGAACTTTGAGTCATGACCTCAAAGTATTTAATTATTTTGGAATATAAGATTAAATAAAAAAGTGAAATAAAAAACTACGTATTTAATATTGTTCTTCTTTTACTAAAATTTATATCTATGTATAGGGTTTTTTATGTATTTATTTTATCAGTTTTAAATAAAATGATATCTGTATATACATACAGAGTTTTGCATTTATGTGCATATATGTGTATGTCTTAGAAAAAAAGACTAGAAGGAGTTAGACCAAGTTATATCTCTCAGCAGTGGAATTTCAGATGATTAAAAAAATAGTTTCTTTATATACTTTTGTATTTTTCCACTTTTTACAGTGATTATATATTATATTACATTTATGGTAATATGGTTTTGTACTGAAGCTTTTTTTTTTTTTTCTTCATGAAAAGAGTTTTTCAGCTTATATCTTTAATGGATACCGGATTGCCTCCGTGTGCTAATGAGAAAATAGAGCTTGCAATTCTGTGGTTCTTGGATCAGTTTCGTAAAACGTATGTTGGTGATCAACTTCAAAGAACCTCAAAGGTAGGTTTTGTTTTTTTTTTTTTTTTTTTTTTTTTTTTTTTTTTTTTTTTTACTGCTAGAGAGTTTAAAACATGTTATTGGAGATGAAGAAAGATACACATAAACTGGATGATATATTTGGGAAATTTCTACATAAGACGTAATTGATCAATCCAGTTGTTGAATTGGTATTGAAATGCAATGTAAAATTAAGTTGCTTGTTTTATACCTGATTTACCATTTTCTTTAAAGATTGAGCAGCAGAGAGGTAGTGAATATGTTTTACATGGATAGTCATTAAATAGTGGAGAGTATTTTAAATACTAGTGAATTTTGCCTTACTGTATTTCAAGACTGAAAGCATAAGATTTACTCTTTTAGTAGTTCCAGGCTTTTTGGACACTTATTTATGCGTCTTCCTGTATATTTGACTTAATTTCTTGGCATTTTTACATGGTTAAATAATGAGGACTAGGACAATTAGATGTGTCCTTGAGAGACTGCAATTAAATAACCTTAATGTTAGGAATACTTATAGTATGATAATCCATTGTTTAGCATCAGAAAGTTAAGATGACTTGATCTTGAAGTATAATGAAAGATTGTCAAGGGTGTGAGCCCTAAGCAGGTATTTAGTAGCATTAGATACTGACACTGAGTAAACTCTTCTCTGTAAGAAGTCCTAAGGATATTCTCATTTCTTTTGAACTTAAAGTTTTGTGATGTTGTAGGATTTTTATTTGAAAATTCTAAAATAAACTTTTTGTACTCTAATTAGCTGTTTTTATCTTAGGAAATTTAACTTAACCTTCAGTTGACTTAGAATTTTCTGGTGATAATAATTGTGTAGTTGTGTGAAAAAATATTTTGTTTGAATTTAAGATTATCCTTTAGTTTATTTCTGGTAAAATATTCTTTACTTTTTAAGGAAGTGATGCCATTTGATAATTTCTTTTCTCAAAAGGAAATCGAGTCATAGTACCATGTAAATTAGTTATGAATAATGAATACCTTGTCATAAATATGTTGAGTCAAAGAATGTGAAAAATTTTAAATTCAGGAAATAGCTCTGTCTACACGTTTATTTAGAAGAATGAATGAAAATAGTAAAAGATAGCTGGAAGAATATTGGGATCAGATATGGAGAGGAGTATGTCAGAGGATGACAGGTTTTTATTACTACTTTACTTTTTAAATTATATGTATGCATAATTTTAGTAGACATACACATTTGGACAATTACAATATAGTTTTATGCCTACAGTAAATAATAGTAAGCATTTGGTGTCATGGAAACACAGGGAATGGTGTATTTAACCAGATTTTGGGAATCAGAAAAGGCTTCTGGGAGAAAAGATTCCTGAATGAAATCCAGAAGAATTACATGAAGCTGCTGAAAAGAAAGGAGAGTGGGATCCATGCTGTTGGAGGTAGAGCAGAATGTGCAAAGCCTTAAAGCTCTACACCGGAAGAAATCCAGGTAGATTAGTAGAGCTAAGGCTTGTATTGTTCCCAGTGACCATTGCAGAGCCTAACATTAGATTCTCAGCAAATACGGAATAAATAAATAGCTGATGTAAGGGAAGGAGTTTTTAAGAGTGGGAAGTCTGGGAAAGCAGACACATAGCAGTTACATGCAGCCTACCTTGTATCTAGAACACCAGAATTCTAGTCAAAAAAATAACAAATTCAGGTGTCTGCCGACTGACCAGTTTGTCATCCAGGTATGTGGGTTATTTCTGAGGTACATAAATAATCCACCCAGGAGTTTATTAACATGTAGTTAAAGTGCTCCAGCATGTTCATGGAATAAAATATAACTAAAAGTATATTTGGCCAGCCGCAGTGGCTCACCACTGTAATCCTAGTGCTTTGAGAGATAAGGCGGGAGGATTACTTGAGGCCAGAAGTTTGAGACCAGCCTGTGCAACAGAGCAAGAGCCCATCTCTACAAAAAATTTTAAAAATTAGCTGGGTGTGGTGGCACACTACTGTAGACCTAGATACTTGTGAGGCTAAAGTGGGAGATCACTTGAATCCAGGAGTTCCAGGGTACAGTGAGCTGTGATCACACCGCTGCGTTCTAGCTTGGATAAAGCAGCAAGACCCTGTCTCAAAAAAACAAAACAAAACAAAACAAAAGTGTAGCCAATAAACTATCTATGTAAATAGATCACCTGTTTATTAGGGTATAATTTACAACACTAAACTCTTAGGATATATCAGAATCTTACAGTATTTCCTTTTTATTTTGTACCTATTGTTACCTGGTATGTTACCATTTGCTATAATTATAAATTATCTTTATTGATAACAATTTTAAGTAGTACATTTTTATACTAGATATCATTAGAAAAGGTCCATTTTCTACAGGGAGGGGAACATCACACACTGGGGTCTGTCAGGGTATGGGGGCCAGGGGAGGAATAGCATTAGGAGAAATACCTAACGTAGATGATGGGGTGATGGATGTAGCAAACCACCATCGCATGTGCATACCTATGTAACAAACCTGCATGTTCTGTACATGTACCCCAGAACTTAAAGTATAATTTAAAAAGAAGGAAAAGGTCCATTTTCATTTTTAATTCAATTAAAATGTGATTTTAAGTTTTAAAAGTGGATGAGGAAGAGTCCTTTTAAAACACACACAAACAGACACAGACGCATGCGTGCACACGCATCTTGGCTTTTGAATATCTACCAAAAGTTAGAAGGTTTGAACTTTGTTCTTAAATCCCTTTACTTATTCAAGATGACCCTACCATAACCATTAGTTTTGTCTTGATTGGTTATGAAACCTTATCAGTAAATGACACTCCAAAAATCTATAATAAATATGTGGTTGTTAAGATCCTGGAATGTATTTTTATTTAAAAATAGACCCATTAACAGTGAAACCGATCAAGCATAGTAAACTAGAATTTGCCTGAATTCTGTCCTCCCAAAACAGGATCCCCGAAATTCAGCAAGAAGTAATTCCCTTTCTCTCTTGGATTAAAATTTTGAAATAGACAAGTTAGTCTTAGAAATCTTTGCTCTCATTCTTGATTCCTTGTTTTGGTATCCTATTCAGTCTTTCACCACCAAAGAGTTTTCATCCTCCAGAATGATCTGTAGCTCTTTTGTTCATCACCATCTACATGTAGAGGAAAACGCACGCGCGCACTCACGCACGCACGCGCGCACACATCTGTTTTCTTTCCAGTACCTTGCATCTGCCAGATGTCAACTGGAAAACATTCCAGTTGAAGGATGTCATGGTATTGTATAAATGAATTCTCCTAGAAAGAATTGCCCTTCCTAAAGAAAATATTTGTTGGTGTCAGATAATTCAAATGGTATAACAAAGTGAAGTGAAAAAATGAGTATGCATTGAGGTAGCTGCTTGGGAAGGGGCACCAACTTGTCTGGGAATGTACACCTGTGCTAGCTTCCTTCTTTTTATTTTTGGCCTTCATTCTTCTGAATTTACATATTTCCTAAAAATTTCTGAATTGCTTTTCAGGAAGATTTTAAGACATTGGGAAGGTTATGAAGCCAAAGGGAATGAAAACAGAATAGTAATTTATAAATCAGGTGACTATACTTCCAGATTTACCTAAGATTTCCCCAGCTCACACTTGTTATCTTGGCAAATTGTGAGTTAATCGCTTCACCTTTCATTCTCAAAAATGTCTTTGGGTGATAAATTATATGATCACCTTACATTTACATATAAAGCACATATTTCTGAAGAGAATATCATAGTAATTCATCAATAAGTTTGTAAAGGCCAGGGAAGTGAGCCCTTCCTTTTGACTCTGGCTGTCAGTACCTGAGTGAAAGCCTTGTTCCTAAGTGTCATGAACTAGTGGTATATAAGCACATTTAGTATCTTTTTTGTGGAATAACTTGAAATTTGCATTAAGCTGATAAGTGCTTCAAAAGTGTAACTGTAGTGAACAATAATTTATTGTATACTTTAAAATTTTTAAACAAGTGGAATTGGAATGCTCCTAACACAAATAGCAAATGCTTGAGGTGATGGATACCCCAGTTACCCTGATGTGATTATTACACATTGTATGCCTTTATCAAAACATCAAATGAACCCCATAAACATAAATACCTATTATGTGCCCATAATAATTACAAATCTAGAATTTTTTTAAAAGATGAGTGCTCATTGATGTTTTTTCAAATTGTCCAAAATGAAAATGAGAATTATCTAAACTTTCCAGCTTTATCTGTATGAGAATTTCTAAATTGTTTTGTGTAATTACTTATTATTCGGCTTTTTTTTTTCTACTGTTGAGTACACATATGAAGCAGCAGATGGCATTCTTTCCCTGCAATTGTTACATCTTCCTGTATGGTGTGTTGCGATAATAACAGTTACTGTTAAATTGAGTAGGAAAACACTTGAATAAAGAAATAGAAAAACATATCATAATAGTATCTTCAATGGACTGCTACAACTGTAAGTGCAATCCAATGTTAAAATAATGTACTAGCTGCTGTTTCTTGGTACTTGCGTGTATTTTGATTATTGGCAACGTGTATATTTGTATTTGATACACGATTTGGGGGAAAAGCATTTAGAAAATTCAGTCAAAACAAACTGTTTAATACATAGAATTTTCACTTTGGTAAAAAATAAGTAGCAGCTTTAATACATTTTAAACACTAAACATTGAAACGTTTTAAATATTTCAGCATTCCCGATGTATCATATAGATTATAGGGGAAAGGTACCTGTGACCTTTAAGAATCTTGAAGCTTGACTGTTGCTTAGTGAATTTGGGGATTTTTTTTCTGTTAAGTGTTTTAAAGCTTTTCAGATTTTGTTTCTGGGCTGCTTTTGACTACCATATACAGAATAAATATATCACAATCAGATTTTATAATAGATAACAGCAATTTGACCTAGTTAGGTTTTCCTCCTTGGTGATTGGTTAGTGCTTATATTTCAAGTTAATGTACATACTGCTAGATAGTTTTATTGCTCAGATTTCTTATTTTAATAGTCATGTCATAAG